CAGCATGCACAGCATCCCTCATAAATTTATCTTCTTGTGACAGGCAATCTGGCTTTAATTTCCCAAGTCTCTTTGTACTGTCCATTTACTTTCAGTCAGCCTCCCCATATCAACACATTTCTGATACACTATAAAATGAAGAAGTATTAAAAAGTAAGAAATCATCTTCTCTATTTTGGTAAATCACAGAATAAAATGATTTTTTGTCCTTAAGATTCTTGAGCGATAAATTAATATGAACAAACCAAAAAAATTAGTGCTCCTGTACTATTCAAATACTTTTGACCCAATTCACACTTAATAGCACAGATTCAATTCTAGCTTTTGGATAGATCTCCATAATACTAGTCTGCTATATCATTCTCCCCCTGTAGCTTCAGCAGGATTACAAACAATTATGAATAACAATGGCAAAGTCTTCTGGAAAAATCAGTTTTCTTTCATTCAGATACTGCCATTTAGAAGAAAGGAGAACACAATTTTAAAAGAACACAAAATAATTATTCCCAATATTTCTACAACTATTTTGCACTATGTGCTGGTTTTGACTGGTGTAGAGTTAATTTTCTTCACAGTGGCTAGTATGGGACTGTGTTTTGGATTTGTGCTGAGTCCATTGTTGATAATATAGTGATAGTTTTGTTATTGCTGAGCAGTGCTTACACAGAGCAAAGGCCTTTTCTACTTTTCAAGAAGACTAGGGGTGTATGGGAAGTTGGGAAAAGACATAGCCAGGACAGCTGACCCCAACTGACACATGCCATATGACATCGTGCTCAGTATATAAAGCAGGGGAGGAGGAGGAGGAAGGAGGGCACATTCGGAGTGATGGCATTTGTCTTCCCAAGTCATTGTTACATGTGATGGGGCATGAGTGGGCCACTGTGTAGCACTTCGTTGATGGCTGGGCTTAAATCATGGCCCACTGCTTCTAATAAACTGAGGGAAGTGGAGAAATATTTTATGTTTTTTTTAAATCATAGCATTTTATTGAGTGTACTAGGCTCAAAAGCTCAGTTTTACTGTAAAACAGTGCTTCAAACTGTAAGGGGGATCTTTGTGGTTAAGGCACTTAGTGAATCCTCTCAATATTTTATCAGCCAGATAGTGAGTCTGGTAACCATAGGAAGTTACTTTATTTTAGCATTGCTAAATTCTGACTATTTTTAATGGCTGAAAATTTGCACACTGCATGATCTTACACATACATATATCAGCTCCACTGAAAGAGGGACATATCCTAATGCTCTTGCCAAGTTCCAATCTATAACAACAGTAGGTTTGATAAAGTTCACATTATTTTTCCTCAAAAGCCAGTTTCACCATCTTCTTGAAGAGAGTAAAAAAACCTTGGGAAGATTTGATATGGAAATGGCATAAATACCGAAAAAAAACACACCTGCTTTATTCGCTGAAATGCTCAGACATGAAATATGTCAAGTGAACACCATTAGTCACTAATAAACACCAATTTCACAGGTATTCTAAAACCCAAGCTAGCATCATCTATAGACATCACATAGACACCAATCTATAGAGAAAGTATGAACAAATTAACTCTTTAAATTCATATTTTCAGATGCTTATTAAAAAAAGCCAGGAGGTAGTGAGATAGAGATTTGAACCTGGAAAGAAGAGTCAATTTTCACTGACAGTGTAGAAGGTTGTTTGGCTCAACTTTATTGCTTTTTTATCTGTCACATACTAACATCAGCAACACCAGAGGTGTGCTAGGGCTACTGGAGGTTGCCTTTACCTTCAGGAAAGCATATACAGATCTGTCTGAGAACTCATGAAAATCTTGGGATTAGTCAATCTTGTGAGGTCTTTGGTGCCTAAGGACCAAAGAAGAGTGGCCTATGCTGGTGTATTGGGCTTGCATGGCAAGGTTCTGATAATGGGGAGAGGACTACTGGGGTGGCTTCTGTGAGAAGCTGCCAGAAGCTTCCCCCATGTCCCAGAGAGTCAACGCCAGCTGGCTCTGAGACAGACCCACCATGGGCCAACACTAAGCCAATCAGCAAAGGTTGTAACGCCTTTCTGATAACATACTTAAGAAGGAAAAAAAGTTATTGTGCAGAAGTAATTGCAGCCAGAGAAAAGAGGAGTAAGAATATGTGAGAGGAACAGCTCTGCAGACACCCAGCGAAGGCTCAACTGGCCTTCGAGGGAGAACCAGAACCACATTAGCAATATTCATGTACAGAAGTGAGCAAAGCTTTCGTTCTCTGCTTGTACTGAGAAAATTGCTGCTGCCACCTTTATTTGAAAAAAACAGACCAGTACCCTGATCTCCTGAAACATGATGATGCTAATTCCTTATTCTGTTATTTTCAGTTCTTATACTAGGAAAAAACCCCCACATGTTATTAAAAAAAATCCTAAGCTTTGGCACCTAGCCATGACAAAAAGCCAAAACTAATATGATTTCTAACAAAACACTGGAATGTACTCTGCAAAACAGCTATGGTCCAGTGTGTATCAACCGTTGGTGGCCTTCCACTGCAGCTAACTACACACTGCCAATATTAGCTACCAGTCATTTCAACACCAGGCAATGAATTGTTGTTCATTATCTCCACTTCTAGTTTTTAAGCATTTTGTCATAAAATATTTTAAATGCTGGATTCAGGATTAATTTCTTCTGACATGTTTTTATATGTTGTGTTAAAGCATGTATAGACCTATAACCATCTATTAGTTTAAATGTAGACAGTATTTAGCCGTAAGAGTAGAGGCTACTTGAAGTACAACGACAATTACAGTGAATTTATTATTAGTTTCACTCACACCTGCAGAGTTCACAGTTCAGGGATGAAGCTGTTAGAGGGTAATAACTGCAATATGCAATGCATGATATTTACAAAGCAAGAGCATCCTTGTTCAAAACGTGACCCTAAGCAAATACCAGGAATTATCGGCCCTTTTTACCAATCCCCACCCATGTTTTGATTAGAAGAATGAAAAACAAAACATAAAAACCACCCACTCAGGAATAAGCAAGCTTGTCCAAGGGATGATCAAAATGATCCATCTTTTATCAATGTTTTTAAAACACAAGCAAATACTTCAAAAAGCAAAATACTTGTAACTTACACAACGCTATAGCCTGTTACTCCACCGAGCTTTTCACCAAGCTTTCAGGAGTGAGGATGAACACAGAGGAAGCCCACAAACTTTCCTGACTGTAAGTAGCTAATCAAAGAGTACCTACAAAACCAACCAATCAATTGTGTAGGTATCTAATCAGCCTTTCTACAGAGAGCTGAGCTGCAGTTGGATGAGGCTGTGTGATCACAGCACAAAATTACATGTTTAGATAGGCAAAAGATGTTTTCATAACGCAAACAGAAAAGTTTCTGGCTTGGATAAATCTGTCCAACTGGTACTGCCCATTGGAGTATGGATGTCATCCACAGCACCATTAATTGGTAAAGCAAAATTCCTGAAGTACCAAAATTTGACTACAGTTTTCAAGGTTGAAAGCTCTTATCTAGATGATAGCATTTTCTTTACTGGAACAGCTTGGCATTTCTGAACGCTAATGCAAGCATGAAAAATATACGTCTGGAATAAGCATTGCTTTACTCTTCCAAGCCGACTGTTAATCGTGGAGACCTAACAAACATAATGCTTCATTCCCTGCAGGCTCCTGTACACTTGGACAAGAGAAGCAGCTGGTACACAAATAAATACACAAAAGCCAGAGGTGCTATTGCTTAAAATAGATTTTAAGTGTGAAACATTTGTTTAGCCTTAGAATTCCCACGTCCCATCTCAGTTAGTAATGATAAACATAACAGGTTGACTTTGTCACTTCTGTCTACATCTGTTTTTGTAACAGTGTAGTCAAAAAAAATGAGTAATTTGCATTGAGAGGAAGAAAATCAGATGTACATCATCCCTCTAAGTGAGCTGTCTGAACTTTAAGAATGTAACAAATACCCATATATCAGCTGAAAATTACAGATTTCATTTGCACACAGACTTCACAGAAAAAGGTGAAGAAACCCAGATTACTGCTTGTTTTCACTGATAACTAAGCTAAGTTGAATTGCTTTCCACATTACCCACCTTCTGCTGACCAAAAGCCAACTGTTTTGCCATACCGATGTACACATGTGGTTGAACATTTCAACTCAAGGCCTGGTGGCTCAGGATGTGATTTCATGGTTAGTTGAACAGAGCTGAGTGAGGACTACCACCAGAGATAGTGGCTATTCGCATTCACCCCATCTTTAACCACTCACTTCCACCTGCTGCACTAGCATCCATGGTAGGCTGCATCAATGAAATAAATAATCTGTTCTCATGTATAGTGCATTTCTGTACTATACAAAAGGACTTACAATAGCCTTGTCTGGAAAGACAGGCACAATATAGTATCAAATAGTCTTTTAGAAAATAAACCAGGGTAAAAGAAAAGAAAACAAACCAAGAGACCCTACATGCCTGCTTTCACTCTTTTCCTATTGAAGAAACCATCAGGATGCCCTTCCTAACCAGAAATGTCATGAGGTGCCATGATGATGGGAGGGAAAACTTTGTGCTGCACAATCACACGTGATGGGAAGAGTGAACCCTATCCCTATAAAAGGGCTCATTACTCACATTCATTAAATTTATCCTACTGACCTGCTTCAAAGCATTGCACCTGCAGCAGAGCCCCTGTTCCAGGGATATTGCCAGCAAAAGGCCATCTTCACCTGCCTTGTTAGATCCAGATGCAGTGCCTCGTATAAATGTGCTGACAGATAAAACCACTAAAATCCTGCCTCCCCTCGACTCAATGACAAAAATTCCATTAGTTTAATCACACTGAGATTTAACCCATGTTATTTATAAATGCCTGAAAACACTTGGGGAAAAATATTGAACAGGCTAAATGCTGTTGATGTAAACTCAGCAATGTTGCTTGGCACACAAGTAAACATACAATGAGTTAAAAACAAAAGCCAAAAAAGCAAGGAGAAAGCAAACACAAAATAACAGCAGCTTACCTTTTGAGGGGGTGGTCCATGGTCATCCAAATAAGTGGAATTTCCTACAAAAAGAAGAAGGATGGAGATAAACAAAAGCCATCCAATTCAAAACTTGTCAATTCATGGAACCAGTGTATCTCTATCCCATTGGTTTTGTGGTGTAAAATATTCAAGGAAAATAAATTCACTCTGCTTTAATTTTTGATTGACAAAATAAAAACAAAATTATTTTGAGTATATTTGTAATAATAGATTAGATGCACTTTGTCATTTTAGCAAAAAAAAATTGCTCAAGGCAGCTTTAGTTAATCAATCACAGCTTTCAATTGGTTGCATGACAAACACTGTCAGCTGCATCCTTGCACATTTTAAGCAAGTGAGCACAGCTAACCTCAAAAGGATTTCTTAAATAATAAAGTACCAAAGGCCTTTATCAGATTTTTGTCTGATGGAGTTGACAAGCATTCACTTATCTCTCTTCTAACATGTATTTTCCCCAACCTTCAAGCTACTCATTTGTTCCCAAACAGTATCGATTGAATGGAAGTTGCATTCTGATGTAATGACACCTGCCTTTTCAAGATGTTCTTTTTATTCAGACAAAAAGCTTCAGAAAAAAAAAAGCAGCTTCTAAACAAGCCAGTTGTCAGCTACAATAAAAAAGGCAAGAATTTCAGACTTTTTACCCATTCCTTGCAAACACACACTGATATATAAAATACACTCTCCCCCACACACATAGTCTGTCTTCCCTGCAACTGTTCTTCCTGAATCCTTCTCCCAAAGGATTAATCCGGAGCTTTCCCAACATGTCCTAGCAGATGATGAAACCTTGCAGCAAGGCTTAAAGCTCCCCTTAAGCCACATGTGCCTCTCCTCTCAGACATCCTCCTACCAAAGAAAGCAAAAATACCTCTGCCCTAACCTTATATCAGTATGGGGTAGGAGAATCATTTTTACAGGTGCCTAATAGACATCCAAATGTCACATGTGAGCATCTCCATTCCTGAAGTGTTGAATGGCGCAGCAGAAATTGCCTCTGGGGTAACACAGGCTAGTCAGAATAAAATATAACTCAGTACCCAAGAGCTCTTCTTTTGTGAATTTAGCCAAAAAAGACACTGTGTCACACTGTTTTTCGGAATGTCAGAAAAAAACCCTGAGATTTCTGGATCCAGAAAGCAGGAAGGAGACATTCATGTGCGAGTATGACAGATTTTAATGTACAACAAAAAGGTGGGACTACGTTTCAGAAGTATTTTGCGTTCTATTTTTTCTCTGGTTTTCCAGCATATGTTATAAAACCATGAAAACTTCAGTCAAAAGGCTTCCAACTCATCTAAATATAAGTCTGAATACCCCAAACTTCTTCTTTTACAGATGTAAGTACCTTGATCTTGGAAGAGTTTGTACTGCTATAAAAGCCTGAACAGTGACTTTTTGATGATCATCTGAAATCATGAATCATTTTCTGAAGCACAAGAAACTCATCTTTCTATACATTTTACACAAATACCCATCCTTTGAACAACACAGTTGCTTAATTTAATGCCAATATGGCTGATTCCCTACATTATGATAAATTCTTTATCCATTCCTCTGATACGATTCTAATTGCCACGGAGGAAATTCAGTTCCCAGACTGCTAACAGAGTAGTGTATGGCTTTCTGTTAGAGTAGCTATTCCATAGGCAGTGAGATGGACTTGAAAATAAGCATTTCAGGAAAACTCACAGTTACATCTGGAAGGAGAGCAAGGAAACTTCTCATTCAGGATTTACCTTTTACTGTAGAATCAGGCTGTTACTAGTTCATAGCAACTTTGTCCTCTTTGTAATTAGGCAAGTGGAAAGACCAACACTGCTGTCAATAAAAACATTTCTTACAGTTTGTGTCAGAAAAATTGTTTTATTTTGATCAATGACAAAACAAGTGATAGTGTTGTCTAAACAAGTTAAGACATTAGAAATGTCATAAACATTATATGAAAACTATGAATTTGTTAAAAAGAGTATGAAAACTTTGAGTTTTCTAATTGATACTAAGCAGTATATGGTAATAATAATATATTTTTTCTTCTCTCCCCCAAAAATATACAGTTTATGCTTACTTAAATAAAAAGGAATATTAACTGCATATGTATTAACTATCTTTAGCAATCACCTATCACAGCCAATTTTGCTGTAGAGAAGGATTTGAATTACCAGTCGTAGTTTAGACAGCATCTTATAGAGCAGCATCGAGTGTCAGAGTTATACTACAGAAACATTTTTGAGGTACTTTAAAAAGCGAACAACCAATTTCACCATTCTGTATGCGTAACCTATGTTCTTAGTATGCAGACGGCATTTTCCTTTTTTAATCATTAAAATTACATCAAAATGTCCCTGGCTTTTAACATACATCCTGTGGGTTTGATTTCTGTTTTTAGAATGTTGGTTTTTTCACAGCACATTTTAGTTACTACTGTATCCACTTAAAAGACAATAGTAAAATTATGGGGCATTATATAAAGGTCATTTTCATGGTAGTTGCTTGCTCAAATTCAGAAGCAACTAACTGACAGAAACTAATTGCCAGACAAACACAAGGAAATACAAAGTATTGATTTGAAACCTAGTCAGAACTTACAAACAAAGAGCAGAGGAGGGAAAGCTTCAGACAGTCCCCACGCCCTTACACTGCCCCAAACTCGATTTGCAAAGCTAGCTCCTGTCTCCTGCCAGATCTCCTCCTTCTGCTCCTCAGGCATATGAGCCAGAGTCAATCTCTGAGCCAACAGCATGCCACATCAATTCAATAGACTGAATTCTTTTGGGTTCAAGTTTTAAATGAGAATTTGTTTTCAGTAATAAAAGCGAAACCTTTTGCTGTATGATTCATATCATACCCTAAGTAATACATTAAAATAAATCCACAAGTCCAGCTGCAGTGGAGTGCAGCAGCAGTCTGTGAGGTACACCGGCCAGTTCCTTAACCTCACGAAGTTCAGTATGTGCTCTCACTGATCATGATATCACAGAATTGGGCTTGCTTCCACTCTGCCTGCAAAACAGGGGCCACACTACAGCAGACTTAATGCATGCAGAAATATCATGCAAAACGTGCACATATATGAGAATATTTCTGAAAAAAATCTGTAGGAAAGATGACTCCTGAGCTGGGTATTTACAAGTTTTATCAACTTAAGACAGGGTGTTGCTTTCACACATGGGGGCATTTTTCAGAAAATACATATCAGATTATGTTAGTTTAAAAACAAAAGAAAAATTCAGCATTCTAAATATTGTAACAATGGAAAAATACCAAAGTAAAGCCAATCTATGAACTACTAACAGTTGACATAGTAGGAGGGGTTGCACAGTAAAAATAAGGGACTTGGGAATAGATGCCATAAGCACCAAAACCACTGGCCATAAGTGCAAGCGTTTATTCTAACTATATTAACACAACAAGCTTATCTACGATAGAGAACATTATCATGCAGTTTTTATATGCTCTTGCACACACAGCATGTGTTTGACATCACTTAAGCACACAAGACAAAAAGAAGCTTTCTGTGGGAAATGATAAAGCAATAAAAGAGAAGGTCATCTTTCCTCATTAGGAATCTTGCCCATTGCCTCGAAGCAACCTATGGCATTAAATCATCAGGATGACTTCTCTCAAGTTCTTTAATAAAGCTTTAATAAAGACATCATTGCCCTTGTCTGCTGATCTCAAGAAGATGATTCTAGTTTTTTTTTCCTGGAGAGGAGTATTTAGTCCTGCCTTCCTGTAATAGTATGAAAGTCTAAGGCATTAGAAAGAAGTCAGACAGAATAATCAAGTCTCAAAACAAGTGGGATTATGCATTCCACAAACAAGCTCAACAGCACACTTGAGCTGACTGAACACAGTCTCCTCCAGACTCTGTCAGAGATAAAAACAAGTTGGTTTTATTACAGAAAATGGTGAATACATGGAAGCAGTTCAATTTTTTCCATAATTTATTACCTTTGAGGTTAAGTGAATCAGCTGTATGCAAAATCTTTGGGGAAACTTTGTGGTTATGTTCCTTTTTTCTTGGAATCACTGAAGTGTGGGGGTTTTGCTTGAAGCAAGTCAAGTTTAAACAGAGAAAGATGGTCAGTCACCAGGATTAAGGACAAACATTTCTGTGTCCAGTTCAGAACCACAGATAAGAAAAATAACTACAATTCTGGAAAAAACCTTTCCAAAATATTACTGAGGAGTACAGAAAGAGGAGGTAAGTGGGCTTATGTATGAACTAAAGACCCCTTGATAGCAACCGAAACAGGATAACTCCACTTGAATAATTCAGACATCATGTGGAAAGAATTGTGTAGAGACAAAGACAGAAAGCCAACATGGAAAATGTGGAGTTTTGACTATTTTCCTGGATAAGGGTTTTCCCTTGTTGGGAATCACAAGCAGCAGTCTAAAGGAGCTGGGATCCAGCTACTGCCAAATTTAATTTGTCTTGTGAAAACCCTTCTTTGTTCTCTTCACTTGGTCACCATCTCAAACTTCCAGGCGCCAATACAACCTTTACTAGCAAACCATCCCTTACATCATTTAATGCTTAAAGGAAAGAAACAGTTTAATAGTTTTCTGATGAGTCTTTGGTCACAAAATTGGGCTTTGGAGAACAATTTCCGCACCAAACATCTCTAATCATTTACAACTGCACCTTCAAAATAAATGAAAGTGCCAGTGAGTAATCAGAAAAGTTCTGCTCTGCTTCCTTCTTTACTTTTTCTCCCTCCCAGATAAGCAGTGGACATCCTTAGAAATTTCATAGGTATTTACACATCTGAAATAATAAGATGTTCTTAGTCATCAGGTCTTGGAGCCCTTTGTGGTCCAAAGGCAGGAAGGGGGCTAGGGACTACAATTTGAAAACCAGCAGCTTAGCAGAATGATGCTGCCCACAGCTTAAATCCAACCTAAACGGAAAACCCTGCTATTGCTGAGGTCAGCACAGATTTTGCAGAGGAAAGTTTTTCCAGAGGTGTGCAGAGAAGATTAACAAAACATAGCAAAACCCCACTGACCAGTC